GAGGAAGGCCCTCTATGAGGTGGATTGATTCAGTGACTGGGATAATTGGGATGGGAGTGTCAGAGACAGTGCGATTGGCACAGGACAGAGCGGAGTTTACGGCTGTTGTACATAGGGTCGCTATGAGTCGCAGGCGACTCGACGGCACATAACAACAACAACAGGTTGTTCTTATATGCTGTCGAGTCAGAATTCTCTCACAGCTGACCCTTCAGTGAGCTTTCAGGGGCTAGAAATTGCCCTACAGTCTCCTCAGTGGATTTGAACTGCCTACCTTTGGGTTGGCAGCATAACTCCTTATTCCCTAAGCCCCAGAGTTTCTTCTATTGGAGACAACTGGAAATAGCATGGCTTGGGTCAGTTCCCTCTTAGTTCTTAAGGTGGTATCTTTGCTTCTGAACGTATTAAAAGGTCTTTAGGAGCAATTTGCCCAATACAATACAGCATTTCATTTCTTGGCTGCTGGTTTCACTGATGTAGAAAATTAAATGCTTAACAAAAAATCAGTATTTTCTCTCATTTTATCATGAGGTTGTCTATTTGTCCAGCTATGAAGATTTTTTTTTAATTTATGTTGAGGTTCGAGAAAATTTAAGGACACAGTCTTTGAGCTTCGTATGTACATCAAGTCTTCTTTACTTTCAGCAGAAAGTTTTATTATCTGCATATTGCAGGCTCATCTGCCTTTCTGCATATCAATGTTTCTGCATATCGATGGCTCTTCCACCAGTCTTGATGTCACATTCTTCTTCATACATCCCAGCTTCTCTGATTATTCATTGAGCATTTATATATTGGAAAAGTATTTGAAAGTATACCTGAACCACAACTTTCCTAGTTTTAGACCGTGCAGTATATATTTTCTGTACAAACAACTACTATTCGTCTATGTACACATTTGATTTGAGCACAGTTAAGTATTCTTAAATTTCCACTCTGCCTAATTTTATCCATAGAAGACCACTGTTCAATTCCAAATGGCCAGTAACAGTCCTTTACAACTAATACCTACAATACTGATCTTTATGTGTTGTTTAATTTTTAATGACTTCCTAACTTCCTAATTTCATTCTTCATACCTTTACAAAAACATTGCTTTCCTTTGCTTTAAGCAGATGATTAATTATATTAATTGTGTAGAGAACATCTTATTCACGAAAGGGACAAGGAGAAATCAGTTTTCCCAATCAAAGACTTAATGTTACATTAGCCTCAAAACATTAGATTTCCTACCCTATGTTGTTTGTTAAACATTCTGACTGCCATAAGGAAAAAAAATGACATAAAAAGCTTATAGACAATTATACCCTGATAAATTCTGATAAATACTTAAGATAAAAGCAATCCAATTAACATTACAGTATTAACATTACAGCTAAATGACAGTAAAATCCTTTCTGTTACATTAACTGAAAGCTGACTAGAACTGACTTACGGTTACATCGTTTTTGCACAAATCTTAATTTGCAAGCTGTTCTATAGGTTGACAGTCGTATGACATCAAAATTCTGAGCACCTGAAAAAAAAGAGAAAATGAAAAATGTTCAGCTGGACCTAGTACACAACTTCTAAATGTTAAAAAAGTAACTGCAACTTATTATTGTGGCCACAATAGATAATAGGTCAACTCACTCCACTCACTGACTCATTGCCAAGTCAGAACCCTCCAGTAGATTTTCAGTGACTACAAATAGAAAAGGAGGAGACTGCTCATCTTTCTCTTGTGGAGCAGCTGGTAGATTTGAACTGCCTACCTTTGGACAACGAAACTCCCCACTGACTAGGCCACTAGAGTTTCCTTAATATGTCAACCAGCCCTTTGGTTAAAACAAAAGGGTGCAGGGAAAGGTTAAGGAGTTCTTCCTGCATGTTGCGGACATGCCAGGCAATATGCCAGTGCTCTGACCTTTCTGCTAACCTTAAAAAACTCACAGGAAAGGAAAATTCATGATTGAATGTCATCAATCAGAAAGAAGAGACGTCCAGTGTGAAAGAGTCTGGCTTATAGTCCCAGGAGGTAAATTCCAGTCCCATTCTGACTACCACTGACAGACTATGCTACATCTATCTCAGCCTCCATGTTCTAGCCCCAGCAGTTAGTTCTAATGTCCCCATATATGTTTGTGGCTGTTTGTATTTCTCTAATAATGGCCACAGCAGTATTGTAGATGAGTATTTTATGTACTTTTAAGACCCTGTCACATCTCAACAAGAGTCGTACAGTAAGTCTCCTGTCTTAAACCTAGACATCATGACTGCCTCAATGGATAGAATTGGAGAGCCATGACACTGCACAACTTGTGAAGAGGGGTGGTGGAAGGTGGCCCCTGATCTCACTCACTCAGGATCTAGACTTGCAATCTAGTCACCACAGTGCAAGGAACCAAAAACTAGCCCATGGAAAGGGACCAGAAAGACAGGAGTGGAATCCATCAGACAAAGCCAAGATCAAAAGCCTTCAAATTATTCCACTCACTCAGCTTTCAAATCTTCCAGTAAGACCCCAGAAGTCATAAAGCAAAGGCAGTCTTCCCACTCTGTTGTTGTATGTGCCATGGAGCCAGAACCGACTCCTACCTGCCCCTGCAGCATGTTCTGAGGGGCAATAAATCACATGAAAGGAGACTGCTCCTCTTTCTCCCTCAGGATAGCTGGCAGATTCGAACCACCCACCCTTGGGTTGGCAGTGCAACTCCTTACCCCTAAGCCACCAGAACTCCCTGCCTTAATTCTTGTTGTGGTGGTTGGTTGTGTTCCATTCAGTCAGAACCAACACACAGGCGACCTGCTAGCAGGTTTTCAGAAGCAGTAAGACACATGAGAGGAGAATTTTCATCTTTCTCACGCAGGGAAACTGGTGGATTTGAAAAAGTACCTCTGGGCTGACAGCACAGCTCCTTACCAACAGGCCACAGAGCTCCCTTCTTTAACTCTAGACTCACAAAACGCATGCATAAAACAAGTGATTGCTCTGATTGTTTCAAGGTAAATTATTTGCAGGCACAACAACTAGAATGAGGCCTTACATTACATGTGTCTATAAGTCAAGCTTTATTTTCACTCTATTTACAGTAAATGAAGCCTCCACTGACATAATGGTCACTTTAGGTAGCTTTTAGGAAGCTCCAATGTCATGGTTCATGGGGTGTCATGTACTAAGCCAAAGGGCACGTATCTCCAGATCAACCTGGGGCTCTATGAGAGAAAGATGGGCGATTTCCCCCCATTACAATTTACAGCCTTGGAAACCCACTGGAGAGTCACTAGTAGACAAAACTCATTTATCAACAATTGAGCTTTGCGGCTCTCAGTGTGAGGGTTTTTGTAAAATTCATCTACACTGTCTTCATAAAATTTAGCTGCAACTTTTGACTAGTTAAAGGGAACATGAATAGGTACAAATTCTTTTCTACCAATATTTACATGACCTCTCATTTCTGTTCTCTTAAAAATAAAGAAAGAAAACTGATTCTTCCAGGCCTCTGGTGAAAGTATTGTTCAATGACAAAAAGATAAAATAAGGATTTCTGTCAGTCTCGTTAAATGTATCTTTATCCATGTTGTCATGACTGAAATGTTTCTCCTCTCACCTAGTTTTCATGAAATTTCTATCCTTCAATTTGAATATGCTTGATATATTCACAGGTTAATCAAAAGGTTGGTGATGTGAATCTACTAGGCACCTCCTGGCAAGAAAAATGAGGATCAATATTTATAATCTTAGAAGTCCTATGAAGCCATTCTATTCAATCCTACAGGATCACTATGAGGCAGCAGTAAATTGCTTTGTTTTACACTGATCATCTAGTCCTATGATTCAGTCCATAACAAGTTGCACAGCTGACCCAAAGGGTATGGGTCTCCTGCTGGTTCAAACCCATCAGGGTTCAGAAGGAAAAAGGTGGGCATTCTCCTTTTATTATAATTCATAGCCTTAGAAAGCCAATTTGACAACACTAAGTTTCTGGCTGGGTTGTCTGTTTGTTTTTTAATAACAGTAAAATAACTTG